AAAATATAGAGGCACTGCTTATTTGAAAAATAAGAGGTATATCATGTCTGCCTAGATATGAAATTGCTCTGAATATGAACCAAAACTCATCCATTATCTGAACATATTTCAAACCTCAAAAATTTGAAGGCAGTTTGCCTTTTCTGTACGCGAAGAAATGGAACGACAACCTCAAAGCAGCGCTCAAAGCGTCATGAATGGTCAAATGAAAAGAGCTTTGTTGGTTGAGCAATTAATTTCAAGTGGATTTTAAAAACAACTAAATAAGTCACTTGAGATAGGAGTGTTTGCAAACTCTTAATCCATATCAGCAATGGTATACAGTCTTTGTGACGACGAAAGTGTGCCTTTCAGGACTTGTGGTTCCGAGAGGTGACTGATATTCTCTATATATGCACTTTAAATTTTTTGTTTTGACCGCCGACCAAAATCCTCTGGAAAGAAGAAATGACGTCATCTTAACGTCGTTACCTAGAAGCCTTGTAGATTCAACGAATATTTCTTATTTGTTTTTATAAAACAAAAAACAAAAACAAAAACAAAAAATCCTCTGGAAACCTCCAGTAATTCTGGATGGTTTAGTTTAGTTAAATGGAGGTCGTCAATGCAATATCTAAAATGTTTACATACAAAAACTGTTATGACAGGAGAAAAATAGCAGGGAGACTAGGTGTCAGAGGTGTCCCAATTTTGACAATTTACCATGAGAAATTCAAAAGGTCTGCATTGGACATTCAATAAAATCTAAGAAAGATGTTACACCATATGTTTCATATGTTAGCGGGTACTGATATATAATTAGCCTTTTTGTGTACAAAATATAAAGCCGGTTAGTGATATGATCCTGGGGGTTGGAGTTCTCCCGCGGTATATTTACTCAGTTTACTATACGGGGACTTTCCGCCAAAAATTGTATGGTTTTGGCCTTCGATTATTGAATAGGGTCAGTATTTAAAGGTATTAAAATAAGGAACATCCTGTTGGAATCTGGATCAAGTACCTCCCTCCTCCACCACACCCGGCCCGTGATAAGTTATTTGAGTTCAAGTGTTTATCTCATTCCACATTGCATGCAATAAATAGTCCTAGGAAAATACTCGCCCCATGTAAGGGAATCAGGAATCCACTCAGGAATCCAGCTTTTTTCGGATTTCTTTTATTATTTTTCAACATGCAAGCCCAAGTGACTCTGTTCATACATTGGGAAGCTGTGTAATCCGTGTAAATCTTAGTTATTAAGAAATAATAATATTTCTATAAAAAACGAAAAATATTAATATCACGACTGGCATTTCGCCAGCCGTTTCCGGTGTRTTGGGCTTCCTGTGTCAACCAAACATAASTAAAATGGCGTCAATGTGTTTGGTGTTGGTAGCCTTAGTAGTAATTCAGCTAGGGTTTGGTGCTTATGGAGTAGTCGTTGCCAAGTTTGCTGTGAAGAGCAAAGCTGATCCATTAATATTTAGCATGATCCGAGACGCCGGAGCGTTTCCCGTCATCCTTCTCGCTGGTTTTATTTCTGAGCGTCGTCTGGACGTCCCAAAACTACGGTAATTTTGCCTTTAAATTTAAGYTTATGTGTTGAAAACCTATTTGGAATTTTGCATTTCTTTAAAACATCACATTGTCATTGATATTCAAGCTAACAATTGACCTGTCCTTTTTGATATTCAAGGAAATAGACAATAGACTTTGCTATGCAACGTCATGATCTAAAGATATAAATACCGTATTTACTCGAATAGACGCCGCGGCGTTTATTTCTTTTTTTTCACGATTCAGCTGCGGCGTTTATTCGAGGGCGGCGTTTATTCGAGGACGGCGTCTATTCGGGGGCGGCGTTTATTAAAAAGACACTTTATTCAGTACTACATACGTATACCGTACTTTATATTGTATCTTTTTACTAACAAACAGTAACGAATCTCCATATAACTTACACCTACTTGCAGAAACGTTGTCATAGAAAATAGAACATTTGAATTTAGTAAAAAGGAATAAATTAAAACAAGACAAAAGARARYGTTCAGCCTCAGTGATCTTCTTTTGTCTTTTTTAATTTATTCCTTTTTACTAAATTCAAATGTTCTATTTTCTATGACAACGTTTTCGCAAGTAAGTGTATATGTCGTGTTCATTTTGTCTATTGTCTATTTATGATTTTAAACTTCTATTTCAACATCAATGTCCTCCTCGTGGTCGGAATCTAACAGCTGCTAAGAGCAAAAATGTACAGTCACTTCGAAATAAAAAATGCTCTAAAAGAAAATAAATTCACATTGCTGGTATCACTATTTCCTCAAATTCACGCCACACCCAGATGCGGCATCTATTCGGGGGCAACGTCTATTAATATTTTGAGCTTTAAGTGTGGCGTCTATTTGAGGGCGGCRWCTATTCGTGGGAGGTGTCTATTCGAGTAAATACAGTATTTGACTTTTTACTCCTTGCAGCCGGAGCTGCGGGGCGGAGATGGTAAAAGGGTMGATGACTTGGGAATTCATACCCTCCCCCCCAGTGACTTTGACAGAATAAAAATGGCAAAGTAAGGACATTCGATCAAAGGGGTTTGCAAAAGAAATGGACTTTTTGCTAGCCCAAGGAGAGTGTTTCAAATCAGTGTTTCCTGCAATCCTACCAAAGAACATTTCAGCATTCATTTCAAAGGCTGTGGTTGGAGAACTCCCTTATCTTCGMTATACGGGTACGTGCCACCAACCAGGGTATTTTTTTAAGCGATTTTTCTCTGGAACAGGGTATCATTTTTAGCGATTTTACTCTGGAACAGGGTATCAATTTCAACAAGTTTTGTCTGGAACAGGGTCAGAGTTTAATTCCGGAATTATCGATGCTGGGTAAAAATTGACGTGGTAAACTGATTCAGTCTACACGCAGGCTAGTGCTGGATTTTACTCTGGAACAGGGTATAGTTTTCAGTGATTTAACTCTGGAAGAGGGTCAGGATTTTGAGGTCTGAGCAGCACACCTCCACCCAATTTTGGGGGAAGTACTCCTCCCCCCCCGGTTTCAAAGCACGAGTACTGTTTTGTGCCTTTTTTTTCCCTTGCAAAATTCAAAAGTTTGATGGCAAGTAGAAAAATCTACTTTATGTAGTTAGATGCATAGATATGTACTAGAAAAACATCAGTGTAATATAATATGAATAATTAGCAAAGCCTGACTAATGATATTGTTTTGTTCTCAGYGAGCTTCCAATGTTTGCCATCCTTGGTTTTGTTGGGATGTTTGGTAATCAGCTGCCATACATTCTTGGGATATATTATACCAGTGCCAACATTGCATCAATCTTCCAACCTTCTATCCCTGTGTGGACAGCCATTTTAGCAGTTATCACTAGAATGGAGCCACTGCCACCAATMAACAAGGCTCATGGATGGGCTAAAATCCTTGGCATTCTATTRGCTACTACAGGGGCTGTAACAATGGTYTTAGACAAAGTCAAGTCAGAGAAAGGGGAAATGAAGTCAAGTTATGGTCTTGGGTACTTGTTTTTGATTATCAACACACTGTGTACAGCCATTTATATGTTACTTCAAAAGAAATTGATTTTCAACAAGGTTGATAGTCCATGGAAACAGAAACCAATTACCTTGACAGCATGGAGCTATCTCTTTGGTACAATATTCATGGCATTATCCTCACTGTATTATGTATTTACTAACCAGTTTGAAAAGTTCACATACTTCCCCCAAGAGGAAATATATCCAATCATCTACGCAATCTTTGTTGCTTCATCTCTTTGTTATATGTTGATCACATGGTGCAATATGCAAATTTCAGCAACTGTTGTAACAGCAACCTGGCCATTACAGGTTCTGTTTTGTGCAGTGTTATCATATGTTATTCTTGATGAAGTGCTGACAACCTTAGAGTACATAGGAGCATTGCTGATAATATCTGGACTGTTTGCAGTCATTTGGTCAAGTTATGTTCTAGAGAAAGAGATTGAAACACAGTCAAAAGAAAGCTATGGCTATGTTAGAGTTTCAGATGGTGATGGTTTTATCCCTGAAACTGAACCAAAAACTCAAAAAATAAACTGATATCAAAATGTAATGTATCCATGAAATAATTCCTCACTATAGATTTATAGCAGCTAATGGTCTTTAGTTATAATGCAGGMAACTGGCAAAATCCAGAGATTCTATAATGTTGAGTCAGCTACTTTTTCCAAATAATGTTTGTAATGCTTTTTGATCCTTAGAAGTTATATACAATTACATTTTCAAAACAGCCACCTACTTCCCAATCAGATGAAGTTCATGATCAAGGAGGATTTTATACACCTTTAAAACATTTTTGATATATAACACATGCTCTGATTGGCTGACGACCGTGTTTATATCAGAGGATAGAGACATGACTTACCGGCAAAATTTTCTTTTCGCTCGAAAAATTTATAAAAAAATAAATAAAACGGCCGCTTGTGTCTCTGTCCTGTGATATAAAAACGGTGAGAGTTGAAAAACACTCGAGAAGCAAGAGAAACGCTCGCTACGCTTGTGTTCCTAAGCTTGCTTCTCTCGTATTTTTTGAACTCCCACCGTGTTTATATCAGAGGACAGAGACATGCGCGCCGTTTTATATTTCTTAAGTATAACTCATTTAAAGAAACTAAAATATTCAAATGATTTTTAAAACAAAATATTAATAATTATGCATAGTTTAAAACACAACAGAGAGTGTTTTATCAGGCATAAAGATTCAAGCCTCATGTGGATATCAAGTCCGTACTGTCCAGTAATATTAAGTAATAAGATATTAAAAATTATTAATTATGTTTTTTTAGGCATGGCTTTTATTGTATAATAGGAAGAGTGAGACAATGGTACAAGGTGCCAAAAAATTTTATACAGAAGCATTGCAAAAGTTATGAATTTTATACATTAATTGTTGATACTAAATTAAAACAAATTACTGATACTKAAACTCTAAGAGTTTTAGTTTGGACATTTGAAGACTGACTTTGATTTGCATCTGCCATATTGGTGTACAGAAGTAGTACATCCTTACCAAATTGAGCTCTTGTTTGACGTGGGCTATAACTCCTTAATCACAGACTGCTATTGAACAGGTAATCCTGTTCCAATAAGACATCACTAATCTCTCCATCACTCACCTTGAGTTCATTACTAGAAATAAGAGAGCATGACGTTCAAAAAAATTAAAATAAGAGAGTATGACGTTCACTGCAAACGGTAGAAAAGATCATGTGACCTGCTTTTTTTGGGTTTACCTTTATAGTTTCAATGCGCAAGAGGGTTATTTTGAGGTTGACATARTCATGAAAAGCTGTTCTTTCAAATGACTACCAAAAGCACAGGGTCAGGCACTAAATTCTTAGGTCATTGGTTCAGCTCTGCCGTTAGCCATTTTCTGTAAACGTGATGGTTAAACTCTCTATTACTTGTGGATTCATGCCAAGAATATGTTTAGCTATGTTTTAGATAAAACAGACACTTTTCATTGCCAGTGTCATTTCTCATTGGCTTCAGATAAACAATAGTTTTCTTCATTGTTCCCTGCGCCATSTTGAAAGGTAGCCGTGCCTTTGCATTGAAGTGAGACGACCATTGAGCGTGCAATGATAGAAACCTTCTTTCACACCTACAGACAATTATTCACAGGTATCTATCATTGCACACTCAACGGTTGTCTCACTTCGATGTAAAGGCACTGCTACCTTTCAAGATGGCGCACGTAACCGTGAAGGAGACTATTGCACCAAATTCCCTAGTTTGGAATTACAAAGAGAGAGACTATGGTAGCAGGGAACACACCCATATGCCAGTCAAGACAGTAAGGCCCTTATCCTTCTTTTCCCTTGGACGACACAAAACAAGAGAAATAAGCCCGKCAACTACTGTAGAACAGCCTGCTTAATAATTGGGTCCTTACAAGACTCATGGTTTAAAATGTAATGGAGCCAATTCTATAAGAATACTGCAATGGTTTTTAGGGAAGGTATTTCATTGTTCAACTTCAATTTGTGTTTCATTAAACTATGCAACATCAATTTCAAACAGCATGCTTTAATGCTATTAAATGCATCAATGATTTAACTGACATCAGTTAAGCTTACTTTTCTCCACACTCATATCTCACAAAATCAACAACATTCAAACCTTCATCATCTACCAGTTTCCCAACAGTTCTACTGTTATCGAACAGGTAATCCTGTTCCAATAAGACATCACWAATCTCTCCATCACTYTCCTTRACTTCATTACTAGAAATTGCTTGTGGATTCATGCCAAGAATATGTTTAGCTATGTTTTTAGATAAMACAGAYAATTTTTYATTGTCAATGTCATTTCTCATTGGYTTCAGAACAACAATTGCACCAAATTTACCCAATGAAAGTCCTTYAGAGTGTCTCACAAAGGCTCCATGAACATGACTACCAATCACACTACTTGGTTCTGTTGTCATGGTAATAGCCCTAGTAAGCTTGATGCTTTCTCCAAGCTTTCCTATCATCTTTGCAACCAAATCATCCACTTTACCCTGGGGTGTTTCAAGTTCCCTTAAGTCATGGGTTAACAAGACTTCTCTAAAGTGAGTAGATATGCTTCCTAAAGTGTTGATCTGCTGGTTTTGTTTGATTATAGTCTTGCGATGATTCAAAGCAGAATGGGTTACCAAGGTTATGAGGTCCACAAAATTGTCATTTCTTGCTACAAAGTCTGTCTCACAGTTCATCTACAAGAAAGTAAAGTTGAAAGTGTGGTTAYCACATTCAATAGTTAGGCAAGGACAAACCACAGATTATAAAGGAGCAGAAATTAAACAACTTCCTAAAATACAAAGAAATTTAACCACAATAGACTACAGCAAACACAGAAATGAACAGAAATGCTGTAGGTACTAAACTTAAATGTGCAATATTTGTTAAGGGATAATATYACTTGTCGTATTACTTGTRGCATTGGACCCGCTGGAACAATGCTTGCAGAGGTTCAGTCAGGAAAAATGTATTTGTAGAATATTTTGTATTATAATTAGGGAATAATATTTTTTCCCAAAATGAACCCCTCTTTAAACCAAGTTCAATTCCCATGCYGAGTGTAGGAATGTGGGGGAGGGGAAGCAATCCCTTTATGTGATGTGCAGGATTATTGGTATGGGCTAGGGTATCAAATTTTGGCATTTTGGCAATTCCTCTTCTTCTCTTAATAGACCTGTATTTGCAATGTATTTAGGTTTTCACCTAATGCAAAAATGTTGTACGTGCAGATTTAAAAACAGAAATATTAACATTATACTAAAAGATGAAAGACAATCACTCAAGCTGAATGCTTTCTTTTGTATTTTTAATTAAATTGGCYAAGTTCATTTTTTAAATTAGGTGTRTYCATTGTCAGTAGTATTTTTAAAAATGTCTGAAAGAGGTGAGGGSTGACAGAAAGCGAGTGCATTCAGGCATGAATTTGCAGATACAAAAACTTCATTTGTTATTGTKYGGTTGAAACCTTAGTTGTTTTATGATGTTTAGGCTGGGATAGGAATAAACAAGGTATTGGCTAAGGRTGTGTAAAATTAAAATGATAGGGCTGGAATAAGGTAAGGGTYGTCATGGCAGCACAACACAACTCMAGTTGCCCCATCTGCATTCTTGTTTCCAATTGTGGCTAAATTAATACAGTATATTTAGAACATAGAGCGGATTTCGTATGAGTGGGACACAGTTACTGCACCGTTACCGCTACTGTACCGATGTCTAAGTTTGGCCAATCAGAAAAGAGAAAAGCTTCTTATAAGCACCAATCAGAAATCAGACTTACTGACGGTAATACCACACTTACGGTTACCGAACGTAATACCGCACGGCAAGAGAAATCGTCCAATCATGAAACAGAATCACCATTACTGTTACCGTTACCGTACGACATTAGGAAAATTTGATCCAATCACAAAATAGCAAAATTTTAGAGAACCAATTGGACATCGCAATTTTGGTTACGGTACAGTTACAGTCACGTTACAATACGTTGGGTTTCCCACTTATACGAAATCTGCTCTATTTATTACCTCTACCATAGCTGCAACATTACTGTCAACCAGAACACCTATCAACCCCTCTGATGCAGTGCGTCCTTGCAGTTTTGATGCTTTTGCCCAGCCTTCCTTCTCGGCTTGATCATTCAACCAGGCCTCTGCTTCGATGATATTATTGTCATTCAATGCCAGAGCTTCTCTACACTTAGCAAAACCAAATCCAGTATCTTTACGAAGCTTAACCAATAAATTTTTATCCAATTTGAAACYATGGGTTTCACTTGTAGACATCAGCCTTGTCAAGAGATCTACAGGAGAAAAAATAATAATACATCTGTAGGATAAGTAGTATTTATGGCATGGAACATTGTAATGCTACGAGATAAATYAAACAGAAAATCTTATGGTGGATCAAATATGCAAAATGAGCTTTGATTGTCAATGAGTTCCTATGTGCTTCTTCAGGGGGACWGTCAGTGACATCTCATCTATGTTAAAAAGAAAACTTCAAAAAATCAAGTTGATGTGTGTATCTTCTAGTCTCCTCTCACAGCCCTTACAAGGCTCATTCCCAGGTCTCCCCCCCTAGGGAGTAACTGTCGAATACCCTGCATCCTAAAAAGCATCCTATGATTTGATCACAGCAACGCATTGAATTTGATTCTATTGTGAGCTACCTTTTAATATTCTTTTAATGTATACTTATAAACCTTTAGAGTCTTTAGAAAATGAGAAATTCTTAATGGTATATCGATATACCTGTGACCCACATACGAGAAATTCTTATATGCAATGTGGCTACGTGTCAACGTGTGCTACGTATCAAAAATGGTATATCAGTATACCTGTGTCTATACACTTATACATTCTTTAGAGATCAAGAAATTCTTATAATATGTATTGGCTACGCGTCAATGCATGCTACGCTTCAAAAATGGTATATCAGTATACCTATGTCTATATACTGAGTCTTATACATGTTGATGCGTAACCAAAAAATATGTCTACATTAACGCGGCTATGCATCAACGCGTAGACAGCTACGAGTTAGCTGTCAGAGGGGCGGGTATTCGATAGTTGTACCAAATTTTAATACATTTCTTTCAAATTATTAAACAATAGCTTTTGACAAAAAATATTCTAGAATCTATTATCCCATCTTTGTTGTAATCAACATTAACTTACTGCTAAACTAATATAACTTACTAATCTTTCACTGACAAGGTTTGTTTCCAGGCATGTGKATTAAGTTAATTTTTTCCTAAAGTTTCATAACATCATCATTGTGAATATTGATTTATGCAGCGTTTGCCATTCATTTACAAGTTTTGCATAGGATAGTTTTCTACAATAAATTCTGAACAGCTCTGCAACTATGCGAATACCATAAGCTTAAATGCCCTTCAAAACGTTGTTAGTATAAGATTTGTGACTCTACAAACYATGGATTTATAACATCCAACAACTTTTTYGGGTCATTAAGATGTTACCTTTGGAGSCTTTGTATGSTGAGTAACACTGTTTTGGCTTGATGACATTTATCTTTCTTGAGAAAAYAAGAGGWAATCTTAATAGCGTAGCCGCCATCTTGAATGTAAGATCAAARAYGGAGAAGGACTGGGTTCCTTCTTGTGATTTCGGGATTCCTGTGTGTGGTTGATGTATAATTTGWATAGAATGTTTGGAATGTTGTACATGTGACTGMTTGGAATGATTCGATTGGTGCATTKATCAAGCGCCCTCTAGTGTAGTATTTCAAGGTGTTTGGATTTGTGGATGTCAAGCTGATTTTGTTCAACAGAGCCTTGTTTTCGTTGTCTGTTCATCATGGCCCGCAAGCGAGACGATGAATGCTGTAATCTGTCTTGTATGAAAGTSCTGTACATGTTTTTTAATGTGATTTTGATGGTAGGTTGGACTTTTTAATTTTTACGGAAATGACAATCGGTGCATGTTTATCACAATCATCAAGCTTATTTAAGTTCAGTTATAAAGCTCAAATTTTCTCTTTTGTGAGCGTATGTTTCTTTATCAGAAGTACAAAATTATTKTGAGCTTGATTTTTTTCTCTCATCTTAACAAATATATATCGCAAAGTTATAACGCCATGCAATGATTAGCACATAACTTTTATAGGTCTTTTAGTCAAAGTAAAGTGAGTTTTAAGTGACAAATTATCTTGCTTATTTTGTAGTTGATTGGTATTGGTATTCTAAACGTCATTTGTTTTATTGATGGTTATTTTATAGTTGACTGGAATTGGTATTATGGGTGTTGGAATCTGGATTTTTACYTTCAAGAACAACTTCAACAGTCTGTTAGGATCAGATAACTATATMATTGTACCTGGACTCATGATTGCAGCAGGATTTCTTGTTGTGTTTGTCTGTATTGTTGGTTGTGTGGCTGTTATTAAAGAAAATCGCTTTACACTTGTTTCWGTAAGTAAAATGGAAAGAAATACTGCAACATATTTTACATTCAAAGGTCAGAAATGAGGATGTGTTTTTTGGATTTCAAAATTTTTGCTTACATGGGGCAAATGATGTAGAGCAATGTCTGATAAGCAATGTTTTGCATGCAAATGAGAAAATAGCATGATTATGCATTATGAAGTGCTCATATGCCTTGACATACTTACTGTATTTGAACCAGCTGAAAAACAACTGAAAATGAAAAAGGTTAACATTTGAAAAAATACGCWGTCAAAGACTGCATGTGGCTAGTGCTAGTATAAAAAATAAGCAATCAACTTAGACTATAATAAGCTTTTAGTTTTATTGAGAATGAAAGAAGGACAAAATTGAGAGAGTAAAACATATAAACTTATCAGGATTTCCCTTATGTAAAATGCTCTAGAATGTCAGGTTTGTTTTAATAGAGAAATAACATATTAATCTATATGGATGATATAATGAAAGTTTCACGTATAGAAACTGAGTATATATGAAGACATGTGACTACTGGAATTCGTTCTCAAAATCAATAATAATTAACGGAAACAGTATTAAACTAGAAATCAATGAGATACAGTAAACAAGAATCACACACATTTATTTGAAAACAAAAAATGCTATAACTCAACAGTTGGATAAAACATATAGATGACATTTGATTACAAGATGTTTAGTTATAATAATAATTTATAAAACTTATTAATAATGCATAAGCTATTGCTCCAATAAGGGCTGACCATTTAATCAGGTGATTGACCTTGTAAATCTGATACAACCACTAGTGGTTGTATCAGATTTACAACACGGTCGTCACCGTGAGACAACCCAACACTAGCAAAGGTCTCAGTTTTAGTGTCGCATCATAGACCTTCACTAGGTTTTGAAGCAATCAAAGACGGATAACAGAACTCGCTTATGCAACAGATGGCTTGCTTTCCATGTGGGATGGATAATTATTCAAAATATTCTGTGTTGCAGTAAATTGCGCATGCTTAATAGGGACTAAACTCAGCAGTTACCTTATTTGTCATTTTTCGTCATTTATCTCACTGTAATTCATGTTAATTTGTGTTGGAGTTTTATAAGTCGTTTACAACATTCGCGTCCGTGTTGTATGGGAATTACAATCTCTCGCCTGCGGCTCGAGATTGTAATTCCCATACAACACGGCCGCTCATGTTGTAAACTATACATATAGTTTTGACAATTTTGAGGAATTTCACATCTACTACTGTCATGAGGCACTTTTTGCACTCCATAAGGTGTTCACTTGAAGGCCACTTAGGACAGTGCCTTAGGGAAATCAATTTGTCAATCAAAATAAAATGATGGATACAGAGAGGGAAATAACTATGTTGAATTGTAATTGGGCCTGACACTCTTTTCATTTCAGTAAATTCTTGAAAAACTCTTAAAAGCAAACCGCTGATAGACATATCCAAACTTGAGTCTGGTTCAAGAAGTAGAATAGTGACACAAAAATAGCCACAAAAATAGAACAACGTTTTAGAAACTATAGAGATTGATAAATGCAGTTGTTATTGAAGCTAAAATGACTAATTTGTAGTGTGTTAACGTGGCTTCCTACAGTTCTTTTTCGACCATACCTCTCATTTTAAATTCTCTTTTTCAAAATCTTGCTATGCAATTTGTTTCGTGTTTGGACCAGTATTAAAGCATTGACCAAAGTTTTGTTTGGCATAATATTTAGCTATATCAATGTTACCTAGGCAACGGAATTTGCATTTTGTCGAAATTCGTTTTTCCCAAATATCTCAAAAAATTGATGAGATCCAGAAAAGCGGTAAACATCATCATTAACTTCAAACTATTGCATAACGTTTTGGAATAGTTAAAAACAAATTCATCTGTTCGATTTTGAGTAATATAAAAAAATCACATCCATGAAATATTTGTCAAAATGTTTTTCTGGATCTCATCAATTTTTTGAGATATTTGGGAAAAACAAATTTTGACAAAATGCAAATTCTGTTGCCTAGGTAACATTGATAGATCTAAAGATTATGCCGAACAAAACTTTGGTCAATGCTTTAATACTGGTCCAAACACGAAACAAATCGGTGCATAGCAAGATTTTCAAAAAGCGAATTTAAAATGAGAGGTATGGTCGAAAAACAACTGTAGGAGGCCACCTTAAAAGGACAAAGAACATAAAACAAACAGCAATTAGTTCTACAGGAAGTGAACTCTTTTCTAATTTANATAGGTTTTTGTACAGAAATAATCTCTAAAATCGTAAAAGGTAATTCATGAAAAAAAAAGAATTTATGCTATTCTCATCATTCATTGCTTGTCTCAATAACCAGAAGACTCAAACAGTGCTCAAAGTTGTATGTGAAACCCAACATTCTCGTCATTATTATACTTTAATGTGTTTAATTACCTCCCTTCAGAAACATAGATTGAATTTAGCATCACTTTTTTCACAACTGCTTTATGTTCAGGGCTGTATCAAGAAGTTAGAAGACTTCTTTGTCAACCAGTTTACTATCTTAGCAGGGGTTGGACTAGGCATTGGACTGTGTCAGGTAACTAGATTAAATGATACACTTATCTTAAGTTGTTTGAATTTTTGTTATAAAAATTGCACCTAAAGATTGTTGTCAAATCTCTCGTAAGCAATCACCTCGGGGTCAGGAAAAGTTGGTCACTTATGAGAGATGGTCACGTACAAAAACATTAACACAGGAAACTCAAACAATGATAATAACATGTTTTTTGTACACATTCTGGACACATTTCTCTACCAATAGAAAGATTTCACATAACCGGATAAAAAATGCAAATGAGAATCAATTTATGCTAATACACGTTACACAATGAGAAAAGCTTATATCAAATTGTTGTCCTTGTTTG